GGGCCCCCACGGGAAGGCCCCGGGGACAGGCGGTGCGTGGGCCCCCACGGGAAGGCCCCGGGGACAGGCGGTGCGTGGGCCCCCACGGGAAGGCCTCGGGGACAGGCACCCGGGGCGACAGGGCAGGCGGAGACGCGAAGGGCAGAATCCAGGCAGCTTCCAAAACCCCACAATTACTCACTGCCTGGTGGGGGCCGGCCGAGCCGGGAGGCCCAGGTCAGGGCCAGCTGTGCCCCACAACGCCTCTGCCTGAGAGCTGCGGCTTCCTGCACCCGGTCCTGGGCACCCGCCTCGGCCTGCGCCGCCTCCCCTCCGCCCGGCGCCCCTCTGCCCTCCTGGGGGGCCTCCCCCCTTGCTGCGGGCACCCCGTCGGCCCAGGTGGGCAAACCAGTGCCCAGCCGCCTGCGCTTGGCGGGAGCCACCAGGTGGACGCGTTGCGTGTCACGGGACAGCGGGGAAGCCCGCGCAGAGGGGGGAGCTGGCCCCTGCGCCCCCGCAGCCCCGAGAGGCCAGGAGGCCCCGGAAGGCAGCCGCCCCAACCCCGCCCCGTCGCCCCCCAAGTCCCCCTCCAAGTCCCTCATCCCCCCACCTGCCCCGCCCCCCCTACCTTCCGCGACGCACTGGCGGCCGTTCCCCGTGTAGCCCGCGGCGCAGCGGCAGCAGAAGCCGGAGGCGAAGTCTTTGCACTCGGCGTGCACCGAGCACTGGTGCCGGCTGTTGGCGCAGGTCTGGCGGGAGTCGGTGTTGTAGCTGAACACTGCGGGAGAGAGACGTGCCGGGGCACTGACCGGGGGCCCCCAAGGGCGATGCGTGGCTGATGGCCCCCATAGGGCCATGTGGACCCTAACTGGCAGATTCAGGGAATGGGGGACCCCTCCTCACACGTGCGGGCGCACGGGCCAGAGGACTTTGGGGAGTCACAAGAGTGAGGGCTTTAAGGCACTCATCCGGGGTGCCGAGGCCCACAGAATCGGGATTAGGCTGCTGCCACCCCAAATCCATCTTGACCGGGGCCCCCCAATGTACTGGCAGGCTCAGTTTCACGTCCGGAGGATCTTAAAATGTCCTTTTGCTAGACTTTTGTTGCACACACACACACACACACACTTTTTTTGGGTTGTATACATGCACACATGTATATATATGATTTGCCGTTTTAATGAACTCAAATCATCTGAAAGCCTTTTTTGCCCATTTTCTCCCCAAGAGATCACTCGGAAACTCTAATTTCATTCAAAAGCTGATTAGAAATAAATCCGCAGTCATTCCTGGCTGCAAAGCCTATGACCCAAGAAGCAAAAAGAATCTGTCCCTATTGTAAACGTCTCCCACTTGGTTTCATTTTATTACAATCACGAACTAGTCCACTAAACGTAATAATCCAGAGCACTTTAACTTGGAGTGAGGCAGAAGAGGGGAACTTTCAGACAACAAGGACCCAACTTATCATAGCTGTTAGAGTAAAGATAAAAGTAGAGCGTAACCCCAGGCAGCGCTGGTCAGGCCTGAAATGCCCACAGGGCTCCCCCGAGTGCGGGAAGCAAGGGTCTGGCCTGGAGCTGGACAGCAGGGATCCTGCTGGCCTTGCGGTACAGCTGTTGGCGTGTTTCCGTCGGCATCTCTGAGGGGGATTATTGAGTCGGCATCAGGATGCACCGCTGACGACAGAAAAACGACCTTCCTAGTACAGCCCAGTACCTGGGGGCGGGGTAGGCAACGGCCACTGTAGGCGCCTCTGTCTGGTCCAGATGCCAGCCTTGCTGGTACATGGGGTGGCTGCCACCAGCTTGGGTGGCGGGGGACTAGATCTGAAAGGGTCCCAAAGCAACAGCCTCGCCGGTGAGAGTCTCAGAAAGCCAGACGGGGCGAGAACAGAAGCCTCAAAACGGAACCCCTGCGAGGAAACACGGCCTACACCTGGCCACCCGGTGGCCAGGGCAGAGCACCTGTGCCGAGACAGCGGGGCCCCGTGAAGTCCGGGGTGCAGCATACGCGGGGGACCCGGGCAGGAGCCATGCCCTCATCACACCAGCAAAGGGCAGCCTCCACTCCTGGGCCTCGGAGGCTCTGGCCACCCACCCAACACTAGCCTCAGACGAGGCCCGGGACGCTCCCCGCGAACAAGCGCCTGTAGCTCCGCACGGCGACAACCAGAACAAGCAGGGAGCAGAAGAGAGCAAATGACGTGGGACGACCTGGACTTTCCTCCGTTATACAACAGGAAGAAGAAAACCAGGAGACTCGAAAGAGGACAGTTCACTGTCTGCACGCTCACTGCCTAGCCCCAAAGGGCCAGGCGGAGTGTCTGAGCCCCGGGCCCGCCCACCAGCCCTGAGGCTGGGCTCCCACCCCCGGGGCCCCCCAAGTCCTGCGACGCTCATCCCCCGTAATGCTCATCCCCTGTAACGCTCATCCCCCGTAATGTCACAGTAACATCACTGAAAGGCCTGGCCCAGCCTAGGAGCCCTAGTGAATTTCATCTCCATTATGAAGAGCAAAAGATACTGAACCGTTTAGGTTGATCTGTTCTAAGACAGATCAAAGCACAGTGGGGCTCAAACTGCCTTTCCTCAAACTGCAACAGAAGTCTGGCATCGTAGCCGGTCAAAGACACGGCACTTCTAGAAAACCGTCCTGAAAGCGGGGCGACCTGAAGCCGCGCGTTTAAGGCTTCGCAAGCCGGAAGCTGCGGGAGGCCCCGGGCGGAATGTAATCAGCCGCTCTCATTCCAAACTCGGGAGGAAGCAAACGTCAAAGATGAGCTGTGTAAAGAGCCAAAGATGTCTCAGATGTTTTTTCAGGTGGGCCAACAGATTTCTGATCTCAGAACTCACAAACACGGAACTCTGACTTTCCAAATAATTCCAAAGCCCTTTTCTCTGAAACAGACAAAAGACACCCAGGAAACTGGGGGAGGGCCGTGCCCCCTCCATGCCCGCCATGGCCCCCAGGCCAGGCTCGGCTCTGAGCACCGGGCTCCGAGGCCAGCCTGGCCTCCCGGGTGAGCAGACCACCACACCGTGCAGCCAGCGGCCGCATGACCCGGGCCCACGACAGGCCCACAGCGCCGTGAACAGCCTTACCCACTCCTGTCTCCTCGACTTCGTCCACGTCTATGACCTGTGGGTGCTGCTGGGGAAACCGCTCCGCCGGCAGCTGGAAGGACCTGGCTCTCTCCGTGGGCCGTCCAGCGGGCCCCTCGGTGCCCAGGCGGCGTGGGGCGAGGACGCTGGGCACCTTGTGTGTGTCCATGTCCCCCCGCTGTCGGGCCTCGACGGGGGAGAGCGTGGCGGCCTCCATCTCCAGGCCCAGCTGCGTCGCCGTGTCATAATCTTCGTCATCGTATTCGTAGCGGTAGTCCAGCCCGGGGGCCACCGGCGAGGGCGCCAAGACCCCGTGGGCGGCCGGGCTCCCAATCTCAAACAGCCAGACGCCCGGCTGCCCGCAGTTGCTGCTCCTGGGGAGAGGAAAGGCGTCTTGAAACGGGCGCCGTCGTCCGCAGACAGCCCCACGGGCCCAGCAGGAGAGGCCTCGGGGACTCGGGGGCCGAGACCATCTCGCTGCTGCCCCGCTGGGGCTGGGAGCAGGACAGCAGACAGGTCCGGTCGGCCTCACGGGGCACACTGCCCAGGGCCCTCCGCCTCTCCATCGTCTCTCTTTTGGCAAGTCTGAACGTTACAGGGAGACTCAAGTGGGCTCCCCCATCGCCTAACTGGAGTCACACTTGGAAACCGGCTGCTGAGGGCTGGGGGCAGGTCCCCGGTGGGCACCAAACTCCAAGGGTGCCCAGGAGCTTACAGCTGACCTCTGTATCCTCAGTCCTACATCCTGGATTCAACCAACCGCTATGAGTTGCTGGCTGAATGCGTGAACCATCACAGACAAAAGACACCCAGGAAACTGGGGGAGGGCCGTGCGCCCTCCATGCCCGCCCTGGCCCCCAGGCCAGGCTCGGCTCTGAGCATCGGGCTCCGAGGCCAGCCTGGCCTCCCGGGTGAGCAGACCACCACGCCGTGCAGCCAGCGGCCGCACGACCCAGGCCCACGACAGGCCCTGTTCACATGGTGAACAGAGCTTCATCCATGTCCTCTGCTCCTGGCGGGCAGCTCCAGAAATCCTCACAGTCCCTCGGGCGACGAGCGTCTTTTTGACGCTGATGAGGTGACTACTGGCGGGGGCCCAGGGAGCCCAGGGGTGCTCACTGCAGACATCAGGTGTGTTCGCTGATGCAATCTTTGGGCCCCAGTCCCACCCACCGTGGGGGGGTTCCCGAGTACTCGGCGTCAGAAGTGGGCTGAACGGCAGGCCGCCTCGCTGGCGCCTGAAGCTGAAGACTTGGCTGGTGTAGGGAGGCCCCACATGCCTGGTGTGAGAGACGTGAGCCAAACCATTCTGTGTGGTTCCATGGAAACCCCAGCCGTGCGGGCTCTGGGGGCGCGGGCAGGTCTCCACTCAGCTGCAGTGCCCCGTGGGTGCAGCGGAGAACCAAGGGGACTTGGACCCTAGAGGCGCCTGAAGCCACGAGGCGCAGCAGAGCTGGCTCGTCTCTGCCGCCCCCACAGGCCTGCCGTCTCACGTATCAGTGTCAGGCAGGGTTTGTCGGGATTACGTAAAACTACAAACTCATAGACAGGATCATACGACGAAGGAGGGCTGTGGGCGCCCCAGTGGCGAGCGTGGAGTGGGCTGGGCTGGGGCGAGGACGCAGTCTCCTAGTGAAACAGGGGGTCCCCAGGAAAAGGGGAAGTTCCAGGTTCCCTGCCCCACCCAGGAGGAGGGTGGAGCCGAGCTGAGAAAAAGGAGCTGAAGAGGAGGAACCAGAAGCAGGAGGAAGCAGGGTGGGGCCTGAGGGGCCTGAGGAGCCACCAGGAAAAGGAGCAGGGATGGAGACCGGCTGAGGCAGATGTGGGCGGGAGGTGGGAGGTGACCGTGGCAGTGTTGATGGCGATTCTGATGTTGCTCTCCTCCCAGACGGGCCAGCCATGTCTGACCCTTGTCCGCGGGCCCTGGCTGGAAGGTGCTTTGTTCTGTGGCCGCTTTCAGGCCTGGCTCTGGCCCATCCCTTTGGGGGGACTTTTGCCCACGGGGGGACGGGTGATTTCAGGTGTCTAATTTAGCAATTATATTCTTTGTTTTCTATATTGTATTCTCATTGTGTTAAAGTCCCTTTTCATTAAAGTCTTCCATGATTTGTCTTGATGTGGCAGGTGGCAGAACCCACTCAGGGCAGGCAGGTTTGGGGGTTCAGGGGTGCCCCTCTCCCTGCCCTGTGACAGTAGGAACAGAATGCTCTCAATGTGTGTCTGGGGTCACGGATCCAGTGGCAGCAGGCGTCTATGCTGTGAGACGTTTTGAGTATTGCCTGTGTTTAAATACAGTTTGTTAACTGTACAGTCATAGCGTTTAATTTTCTGTGACTCACAGAACTTGACACACAGTACTAGGCACAGGCGAGGAGAAGGGGTTGCCCATCCCCTGCGGTTAGTCGCTCAGGGCAGCTGTTAGGCTCAATTTGACAATATTTAATCGGGAGGGGGAGTTCTTTCTTCAGGGCTTAAAGTGCAGTGGGAGAGAAAAAGTGTAATTTTAGATAAACCAGCCTCGTTTTTTTCTCCCTTTTTGCACAATTCCACAAAGTAGCCCAAGAGAGTGTGGTTTTGTTGTAAGAATTTCCTCCCAGGTCCATGGGGGAAGGAAGGGCGAGGGTCTTCCTAGCCTTGGGGTCTAGCTATAGACTCGTAGGAGAGAGGGCAGAGGCCATTTCAGCTGAGGGTGGTATCTAAAAACGGGACATCTGTTCACCCTATCAGCACATTCCCTGGAGTTCCCCAGCAAGAAAACCTTTATGATGAAAGCTACCCACACAGTGGGGCCCGCAGGAACATCTTCAGGCAACAGTCTATAGTGCCTGTTGCAGTATCTTTAGTAAAAGAATAAAATGATGATCTTCTCGAGGGAGAATCTACTGAAGAACAAAGAAGACATACCTGGCCAGATTTCTGAGCGATTCTGCGTCCTCAGCAAATACGTTGACTGTCCCATTGCTGCTCCACAGCCGACCCACCAAGCCCTGGCTGAACGCAACCTTGGCAGGGACTTGCTTCCTGGCTGTCTTTGAGAAGGTTGTGTAGAACTGCAGACCGTCTTCGGGGTAAAGGAAAATGGCGTAGGAGCTGGAATCAAAGGAGGCCAGAACCGCCTGGAAGGTGTTTCTCTGTAAAGACGAGTGCAAGGTTCAGTTACTCAGCAGAACATTTATGGATCTTGAGATATGCTCTTTACCCGGCTGTGTATGGAAGTGCTTCGGGGCTGTTCTCACCCAACTGTGGAAGAAGCACTTTCACGGCAAGGACCGACGGCTTCCAGGATATTGCACTGAAAATCCCTCAAGCTGCCTCACGGGAAACTCTCCTGTTAACGAAGGGCCAGCTCCTGCAACACCGTGGCCCTGAGGCTAACGAAAGATGGCAGCTGCAGGCGCTAGTCTAAACCTCAAGGTCTCAGCAAAGCTGTTTCCACGGCCGTGAAACACAGTCAGCCACGCTCCTCTGTGAGCATATCTAGGGCGGTCGGGAACGTCATGGCGCCCGGTCGCATAGAAAAATTACTTTCCTGATCACGCAGTAGCTATTG